TAAAAAATAAAATTAAACAAAGAAAATAAAACTAAAATAAAGTAAAATACAATAAAAAATAAAAATAAAGTAAAATAAAAAATAAAATTAAACAAAGAAAATAAAACTAAAATAAAGTAAAAGAAATCAAAATAAAATAAAATAAAGTAAAATAAAGAAATAAAATAAAATAATGAAATAAAATAAAGTAAAATAAGATAAAGCAACTTAAAATAAAAATAAAATAAAATAAAAATAAAGCAAAATAAAATAGAATGAAGCAAACACAAATAAAAATGAAGTAAAATAAAATATGATAACAATAATATAAAAAAATAAAGTAAAATAAAATAAAATAAAGTAAAATAAAATAAAATAAAGTAAAATAGAAAAAAAGTAAAATAAATTAAAAATAAAATAAAAAATACTTTATATGTTTATTTTATATATGGAGGGAGCTGGGATGGTTTTCAGGTCTCCCAAATGGATCTGGGATGGATTTGGGATCTCCCAGCTGGATCTGGGATGGATTTGGGATCTCCCAAATGGATCTGGGATGGTTTTGGGGGGATCTGGGATGGAGTCGGGATCCCCCTCCCTCATCCAGAGGCTCCTTCCCCCCCCCCCCCCCCCATTCCCGAGGTTTTTCCGGCCCCACCTGACGAAATCCCCCTCGGCCATCCCGTAGGTCGTGGCCTGTTTGTTCAGATCCGCCACCTGCTCCTGGTTCAGCTCGTCCACGTCCACCTCCACATCTGGCAATTTGGCAATTCCGGAATTTGGGAACACGGGAATGCCGGAATGACCCCAATCCAGCCCCAATCCGGCCCCAATCCGGCCCCAATTTGGCCCCAACCCAACCCCAACCCCAATCCGGCCCCAATTTGGCCCCAACCCGGCCCCAATCCGGCCCCAATCCAACCCCAATCTGGCCCCAATCCAACCCCAATCCAGTCCCAATCCAGTCCCAATCCAGCCCCAATCCAGTCCCAATTTGGTCCCAATTTGGTCCCAATCCAGTCCCAATCCAACCCCAATCCAGTCCCAATCCAACCCCAATCCAGTCCCAATCCAGCCCCAATCCAACCCCAATCTGGTCCCAATTTGGCCCCAATCCAGTCCCAATCCAGCCCAAATCCCACCATTCCCAACCATTCCCAGCATTCCCAGCCTCCTCCCCAGGCCCAGTACCAATGTCTGGGATCACTTCGTCCTCATCCGTGTTGGAATCTTCCTCGGAACCCTCCTCCTCCCCCCGCTTTTCCAGGGAATTCCACATAGGAATGACCCCAATCCAGCCCCATTCCCATCATTCCCAGCATTCCCAGCATTCCCCCCTGGGCCCGGTACCGATGTCCGGGATCACTTCGTCCTCATCTGTGTTGGAATCTTCCTCAGAATCCTC